CCAACCAATTCATCACACCATGGATCGAGCCTCAAGAGATGAGAGTAACATGGTCAGCAACCATTATTTTGTTTTGATAACAAGATGGTAATTAATTAAAAGTGAAAAAGGAAAACAAGTCAAATCTCTCAGATGCATTTAAACTTTACCAAGTCATGATGAAAAGGAAAATTAGAGGGGGGAAAACAAGATGGTAATTAATTAAAAGTGAAAAAGGAAAACAAGTCAAATCTCTCAGATGCATTTAAACTTTACCAAGTCATGATGAAAAGGAAAATTAGAGGGGGGAAAACATGCTGAGGCCGTGTTAAATACATATATAACCTTACAAGAGCGAAGTCATATTCGTTAATTGTATCTCTCAATACCACATTCTCATCAAATATATCTAGGGACATTAACAAATAAAGACCTCATTTGAGTAGCAAATAGCTACTTAGCTAGACAACATGCCTCTGCTCTTGTACAACTTATAAAAGAAAGAAAGAGTTTTTGCTAAACAAGATTAGCGAACAGAAGCATACAAGTCAGGTTAGAGCTAAACCATGACTACACATAGATCAAGGTAAATTAGTACTTCAAAGCAACATTGATCAACCTGAGGTATCAACAATCTTCTAGGGATTAGCTCCTCGTGACGTCGAGCACAAAATTCCCAAGAGATGATCTGCCAAGTTGACGAAAAGGAAATCAGATAAAAGAAAATAATAGACATTCATCTGCATCGTGCTATGTCTTAATAACTGATTAATAAGTATGGTTATCGAAAACAAAATGCTATTAGCTCTTCAATATACCTTTAGATCAGGCTGTGAAAACACTATTCGAAGCTGACCATCACGTACAACGCGAAGTTGCTCAAAAACGCTCTCCTGAATTGCTTTTGCATAGTCTAGGACAATTTGTCCAGATGAATTCTGATATTCACGAGGCATATCAATATAGAGTAGCTCTTCCAAGGTCCCACTTTCATATTTTATCTTGAAAAGCCTGGGCAAGACTTCAGCGGTCGCTTCTGAATGAATAAGTTGAGCAACATCAGGTCCCAATAAGGATGACACGGTGAAAGGATAACCAAATGGGTGCAGAAAAAACAAGTCAACAATAATGGCTTTGTAAAGTTACAAAGAAGAATGAATCTTTGACAACAGAAAAGATATAAAAACAAAAGAAACATACCAAAACCACGGCCTGGCTTGCGGTTGCATATTTCACAGTGCCATACATCCTGCAAATTATAAGATAGTGATTACTTCTAATTTTCTACAAGGAAAAAGTTGGTCTGCATAAAACTGCATAACATTTTAGGAACAAGTCCAAATTAGTTACTAGAGCTGAAAAAATAATCTATTTTTTCATAACGGCAAGCCGTATAAGAGGTATTTGACTTACTATAACCACATATTTTCACTAAATAAGAAGATTTCTCAAATTTGATTAAGAAAAACCAATAACACAACCAACCTGAGGAAAAACTCCAGTGGTCTGCCGACCACTTCCATACATAGAGACGCACCACTTTTTCTTGGCATTTGGAGCAAAATACTCGGCGACAAATTTTCTCCAGAACTCTATGTTATTATCCTATAAAAAAGGTAGTGCAAATGTAACATCATAGGGCTTAGTCAAAAAAAAAAAAAAGAACTAAGATCAGAGAAGCTGAGTGGTAGGGTGCAGAGTGTTATGGACCACACGGAAATATAGCTGGAACAGTTTTCTTACTTCAGGCCTGTGTTGCTGCTGATATAAATAATGAGTCAGCCGACGGGCGCACATCCCAGGCTCATAAGCTGGTTTTACAGGAGACCTTATAGTATGATTCTGTGGTTGAAATTGCGATTGAAGTGGGTTTCTTTGCTGAGGAATAGCCTTCAAGAGTTGCTGTTGCTGTTGTTGCTGCTGGAGCTGCATAAGCCTCTGCTGGTGAAAAAGCTGAGCTGCTGCTGCAGCTTGAGGGGACTGCTTGGACATGTGAAGTAATTGCTGTTGTTGTTGTTGCTGCTGCTGTTGCTGATGTAGAAACAAAGAGGGTGAGGAATGTTGTGGCTCCATTTTCACAGTGGCAAGGCCTCTCATACTTTGTATCTGTTGGGGCTCCTGCTTTACAGTTGCCAGGTTTCGTAGTGCTTGCAACTGCTGTGGTGTTTGATCATTGGTCACTTGGGGCTCCTGTTTGACAGGTCCTACACCTCCTAATCCACCTCGTATGGATTGAAATTGCTGCTGCTGTTGTTGTGTTTGGGAATTGCTAGGGGCAGAAAATTGCTGAAATTGTTGATTATGTTGGTAGTTCTGGGAATCAAGCTGTTGGGATGGTGATTGGTCAGTTAACATCTGGTTACCAGAATGGCTGGGAAACCGCTGTCCCTGAACTTGACCTGAATTTGGATTTGCCGCCATGGCCGATGAGCTAAACGATGTTGAAGGAGCATTAAATCCCATACCATTGCCAGCACTGGCCATTGGATCAGACTCGGCCCCATTATCAGCTCGCCCTGAATTATGACCACCATTTCCTAAGGACTGATGGAGCAGAGACGAAACATTTGGAGCATTTCCTAGCATATTCATGTTACCAAACTGAGTCCGAGGTGACACAATAGAAGGGAAACCACCTGGGGTAGGCATTCCACCCCCTTGACCACCCAATAAACTAGAATTTGATCGCAATAACGAAGACGGGACAGGCTGGGCACCTCCAAGTGGATTAGGAGGTCCTGGTGGCACCATATCTTTTATGCAATAGATAACAATCTACAAACACTTAACAAACTATAGAAAGCTAAAACGGAATGAAGCCTAACACCCCAGATCTGGAGACTTTATACTTTACTCTGAAAAGAGAATTACACAGAACAACAAGCAGAACCTACTACATCAATTGACATTCCAAAGTCCCTATTTTGAGCCAAACCAAAGGGAGGACCCTCACTGCTGAGAAAAACTGTTGTGCATATCATCAATAGAATACCAAGTACAAGCTACAAGCTTTAACTCTTAAACTTCCAAAGCTTCTCTTTTTTCTGCTCAAGTAAATATCTCTATCCACTTATCCCTGCAAGAAAAAGAAAAAAAGAAAAAATTGTTAAATTGTGTCGAATTTCTCCCTTGCTTCCATAAAAACATAGCTAAACTCAAATCTCAACACAGTAAGAAAAATATATATAAAAAAAAAAACATACTTCATACTCAATCACTAATCAAATAAAGACGAAAATCAGAAAACTGAGAAATAAAAAAGACGAAAAAAAAAATTCCTCTGAAAAACTAAGCTAGGTACAGTAAACAATTGGAGAGTAGAAAAATAAAAACAAGTGATTAATAAATTACATGTTCACTTGATCGAGCCCTAAATCGCGCAATAAAGTGCATAGAACAAGATCCACAGCTCAAATTAGCTTGGGGACTTTGCTTTGTCAAAGTGAAGAAGTTTCAGTAGAGAGAAAGAGAGAGAAGAGTTTTCTCTGAGTTTCTGCGCTGTCCTCTTTAGAGCGAGAAAGTTAGAGAGAGAGTTCTTGCGGACGTCAAAACTGCATTCAATCAGATTGAATATTTCTCTTTCCTTCACTCTTTCTTTCTTTACCTTTTTTTCTTTTCTTTTTTTTAATTTTTTTCTTCTCTCAATCAAACGAAGTCAAATCCTCTACTGCCTTTTTCCTGTGGGTGTGTGGGGTGGGGAAATGTTCAGGTGTACATGCATGTGCATAGTGTAAAAGCAACATAACCATGGACGTTCATGAGATGGATGAAAAGGCATAAATACCCTTAACTTTGAATCGATTTCTCAGTTGCACAGGCGAAGGTAAATAACTTATAGCTTGTTTGGCCAAGCTTCTTTTGAGGCAGAAGCACTTATTTTTTGTCGAAAGTGTTTTTTTTCTAAAATTAAGGTGTTTGGTCAAGCTTTTGAAAGGAAAAAAAAAAGTGCTTTTGAGGAAAAGCAGAAGCAGAAAAAAGTACCTTCTTTCTAAAAGCACTTTAGAGAAAAATACACTTAAAAGCAATTTTTTAAAGCTTGACCAAACACTAATTGCTGCTCAGAAGTACTTTTGAAATCCATTTGCCAAACACAAATTGCTTCTCACCGAAAATACTTTTGAGAAAAAGAGCTTCTCAAAATAAGCTGATTTTTGCAGCGTAGTGCCCGCTATGTCTTGATTTCCGATTGATGAACAAGAAGGAAAATGGAACAATTCTATTTTTGACTCGCCCCCGGCTACGTGTCCTTTGGACCCTTCGCCCGCCCGCCACCAGTGGAAGCAAGCTAGCCCCCTATCTTGGAAAGTTGGGGGAAGAGTGCATTTCCATCGCGAAGGACAAACGAGCTATTAGCATCATATTTGAAAAACATTTACTTATATTGTTAGTCTACAAAATTTAGATCACAACTTTCAAGAGTTTAAATTTATTAAGTTTTAACACGATTCTGTCAATCAAATTAATTTATTATTATGTAATTATTATATTCATCAATTTTTTTCTTAAATTATTTAAGTAAATGGTATACATGTAAGAAGAACTCTATGTTGAAATTGGGTATTCCAGCAAAAAAGGGGGGAAAAAAGATCGGGCGATTGAGAAGGCAGAAGGAAATGATGGGACTTTCTAAAACTTGAGATGATTTTTGTTCATGTCTATCGCCTTACGATTTTCGGAAAGGTCCACAGTTGAAAATCGAATTATAGAAATATTCATATTATAGAATAGCAATCCAAATTTATAATACGTAGTTTAAGATTTGCTAAAAAAACTATACTACTACGACAAAATTTACTAGATAGTGATGTCATAATTAAGTAACATCTTTCTGTCCAGTCTCATCTTTTTTTTTTTTTTACTATCACTTAGCATACCGCGTTGAGATTACCAAAGATTTGATAGCACCAATGTCACCAACATACGCGATTCACATATAGCACTTTGCTTAGCCACCCAAAAAAAAAAAGAGAAAAGAGAGGAAATTAAGGAATTCTATTTCTTTCTTTTTTTGGGATTAGAGATGGGGTAACAGGTGAATACAAATACTTTGACCGAGAAAACATGAGGAAAAAGTCACAGTCAAAATTTGCCCCCTTAACAGAAATTAAAGCACTGATACCAATATCCCCCCCCCCCCCCTCTCAAAGAGGTAAATCCTCATCCTTAGCATCCAGCCACTCCAAAAGCCGGCAACCACAACAATCAAAACTGGTTAATTGATACAAAAACATAGTAGGTGTCGGGAGAGGGGAGAAATGAAGTGATTGCATTAGCCACATTACCATGGAACAAGTGGTAAGTCAATTTCTACTAGCTCCTGAAAGTTCTAATATAAAATACCTTCCACACCATCCAGACTATATACACTCATGTTCCGGAGTGGAGGTACAGCACAAGATGGGCAAGAGCTCAGCAGATTCGGTAGTTTACAAATGCCTTGAAAAGGTACAAGTGTGTGCCAAGTCACTCCTGGAATGTCCTATTCAAGGCTGTTAGTGCAAATATGTATAGCTGTGATAAACCAGACAAAATCAAGTTAGAAGAATCTTATGCTACCTCAGGTGATGTAACATTTCAATCATGAAATTACTGTGCTACATGTTTTCCTTCTCGGGCAAATCACTACAACAGAAGCAAGCCCTGAAATGATAGCTCTTCAGGATTCATACCTACTATCAGTGTGCAAGGCAAAATCATGTCATCTTTGCAGCACAAAGCAGCACATGAGAACCAAATATGCAATTACAACCACAACAGGGCACCCCAATCTCCTAAAGGATCTTGTCACTTTGTTCATACCTTCTAGGCTAAAGCCAAGTCAAAACCTTTAGGGGGATGTTTTCCAGTCAAACTGAAGGTTACTGAAACCATTGACTGCTCCTAAACCACCAAGTAGTTGGTTCCCCAAATCTTGTTGCTGTTGACTCACACTTTGCCCTCGTGCCATTGGCATGCCAACCCTTCCATTCATAGCCACAGAACTATTACCTAATGCAGCCCGAATTCCATTGGCCATTGCAGCCTGGCTCAGTCCGTTGCCCATGCTGCCATATCCCGGAGAAATACCAATATTAGCATTTGCTGTCCCATTCCCAACAAGGCAGCTGCTTCCATTAAGAATGGAGTTATTAGCAGTTGTTATCAAACCATTTACACTTTTCATATCATTCCCCGTGGCACCACCACCTACAAGGCCACCTCCACCAAGTTGGGAAGACATCATCATTTCGTGTATGATCTTTTGTACAGAACTCTGAGAGTCGTTAGCATCAATATCACCTGAAAGAGTGGGTTGATGCATTGAAATATTCGGGGAATTGGCAGAATTCACGTGTGATCCTGATGTTAAGCCACCATGTGAAGTTTGTGGCGGATTGCTTGATGAACACGGTGTTGGTGATTGGAATGCAGACAGGTTTTGTTGAGACTGTGGCATTGTATTTGAAGAACTTGGTGAAGGCATTTGAACAGCATTTCCTGCATAAGGGCTGTTCACACCATTCATTGTTGCCTGTTGCCTAGAGTTCATGGAATTTTGGCGCAATAGCCGAGCACCAGTACTATTAGACGAAGTAACAGGTGCAGGGTTTAAAGAGTTGTTTTCGCTCAGAATACCATTGCTGGAAGCAAGTTGCATTGCACCAGCCTGGACAGAGCTCTCATGGTTTGAGTTCTGACTGGCCGTATGTTGTTGCTGTTGCTGCTGCTGCTGCTGCTGAGACTGTGGCTGCTGCTGCTGCCGAGACTGATCCTCAGATGGTTGAGCTGCACCACGTACCCCAGCCGATGAACCATTCCTACGAGGAAACTTAGCCAAGCTCTCTGGAAAGGCCAAATTTCAAGCACAATTGTGAGGTTTACAGAACTGTATCAACCCCACATTCATGTGGTACTCCGAGGGTTAAGTTCTTAACACCACACAACCCGCTACATTAAATCCAACAAGTTAAATGCATATACAATGAAATCTACAGTCAGACACAGCCAGTTTGGATTTTTGCACATGTACATTAGGTAGTGACCTGTTTCGACCTCAAAAAGCAATTTGTCTTTCGCGTAAAATTTAACTTCAGATGATAACATTCATGCCTTTTGATGAATAACAATTGTACCCTAATCTCTAAACCATCAAACCACAGAGATAGATTAGCCCCTGCAACCTCACTTTTGATCTTTGTGATTACTTGGTGGATATAGAAGACCTTTAAACTAGCAACAGCCAACAGGAACAAGTTGAAAGGTAAAAATGAAGAACTTACCCATAGGCCCTGTCCTTGTCTCTCTGCTGTAGTCAATCAAATCTTTCATGCTATTAACTACTTCTGATATCTGCAATTGCACCAGCAGTATACAGAAGAATATAAATTATATCCATAAGACTGTGAATTGAAGACAAGATTAAAGCGAAACATAATTACATCAGAAGAGTTATCATTTGAATGCATCGTGCGTGCAACTTTCAGTCAGATTAGCTTCATTTTAAAAATGTCACTGGAAAAAAGTTTAGGCCTACGTCATAAACATTTGGAAAGTTAAAAAAAAAAAAACCGGGGGGGGGGGGGGGGGGGGGTTTGCTGAACTGGAAATTATCTTGTGCCACTAGACCCTCTATGACCCACTGAAATAAAATTATAGAAAAGGAGTAAACTCTAGAAATTAAAAAGAAAATGCTTCGCAACGGGAAGAACAGAATGGCATCAGAAATCTCTATCCCAAGTACAGGCCGAAATATGTTCCGTCTACTTCATATATTAACTCACAAGTCAGTTGCCAGTAGGATTTAGGAATTCCCAATATGACAAAAGAACAATTGTCAAAATCCCCGAGCTGCTACCTGCTACACAATCTGAATTTTGGCCTTCATTTTCAGCTGTGCTTTATTACATGGGAAGATGGCAGATTAAAAAGAGAGAGAGAGAGAGAGAGAGAGAGAGAGAGAGAGAGAGAGAGAGAGAGAGAGAGAGGGCACAGGGAGGATAAGAAAGTTGGGTAGAACTGGTTGAGTCAGAACACACAGAACAGGCAAATAAAACCTGGTTGGGAAATTAAAAACTCTTAACAGAAGCAAATATTTCAACAATTTGTAGTGATTTCCCCATTGAAAGAAGCAGAAAATCTCCTAACAAATCCAGAAAAGAACCAAAATAAAAACCTTACAGCATCAGAACGAGGTGTATACCTGAAGGCATCGCACATATCTCTTTGTATACCCTAAATCATTTACCAATGGAACTTCCAAAGCTTTTGCCAACTGACGAGCTGAGGCAACAAACCTGAATCAAAATCCTAAGTCAAAATCTCAAAGTGATATTACTTAAATTAACAGCTAAATAAAGAGATAAACGGTCATTAGCAAATACACAAGCATAAGAAAAATCTAGAATAAGAGAATCTATAGACATAACTTTAACCCTATATATACATCGTTCCTGATTATGGTTGAAGGTGCTAAAAGGGTACAAGGCCTAAAATCATATGGAGAGAAGTTGTTGTTAAAAGCTTACAATTTCACGAATCAGTTTGGTCTTAAGTCTTAACTATGAGAGAACATAATGAAAGCAAATGATCCAAATAGGCGACACCAACTAGTCAAGATTAACGCTTAGTTATTATTGTTACCTTAGATCTGATGTTTGCCAGAAGTCCTTTCAGTCCAGTTAGAGAGTGGTATATTAATGCAAGAAAATTGTGAGTAAACAACCTCCAGTTTTATAGAAATCCTAATTTGCGTTAAAGAAAATTATCTATGAATAAAATAATTGGATGATTAAGTTGAATCAACCTTCTTTGCGATAAAGTTGTAGTTGTTGATAGATTGATTATGTATTGCTTGTTCGTTATAAAGTTATGACATAAAAAGAACATGCATGTCTATACCTTCCCCTCATCCTTCCCCTTCTCCCACCATTACATATAGCTCCCTAAATTTATGTAGCTCCATTGTACACTACCACTGAACAACAAGTAGATGTGTTCCATACAAAAATAAAAATTTAAAAAAGATACAATCACCAGAAGTCCTTTCATTTTTAATCCTCATTATTCTATTGGAAGATTCAATACATCACAGACCATGCATGGCTCCTCCCACCCAAACCTGCCTTTCCAAGTCCACAATTACAGTCAAAGGCAGATCTAGGATTTTCAGTTATGGGTTCTGGACCACAATCCTTTTTGCTTACTGGGTTCTGGATAGATTATTATACATATTAAACGAATTTTTTAATTTTTAATACAAATACAGGGTTTGAGCTTAAAGCTACTAGGTTCTGCCGAACCACTAATATAAGCTCCGCCCCTGGTTACAGTGAGGAAAATCAATCAGAGAGAAATTTGGTGAAGTTCTTTAAAATATAGAAGACAGAGATAAACTTATATTCTGATTGGCGACCAAGAAATATATCATTTCTCCTTGAATCTTAACATAACCAAGTAGAGACATGACAAAATGCAAATCCATAGTTCAAGACCAATATTCCGTGTAAGATCTGCACTTTGAAGCTGTAGGAACATGTCTTATATTCACAGGTACACCGGGATAGCTAATCCACCACTTTCAAGAGGATATTTGCTTTCCAAAAAAGTTCAAGACCAACATTCTCTTTCATTTATCAGGAATGGAAAATTGAGCTTTCAGAACCCAAAAAGGATATGCTCTTTTCAGTTAATAAAGACATTTTAACAATCAAACGCAACTGCAATTCAGTTGTTCATCCAAATTTAACAAATCGCAGATATCAACTAGACTTCCAAATTTTTAGTTTCAGGAGCAATTGAGCTTCCAAGACTTGGCAGCATGACCAGCAATAGCGATCCATAACACTAAAATTTGAGCTATATCTGTTATCAGATGTACACATCATAGTAAGATAAAGCACTAATAGGATGACTGACTGGTCAGATATCACAACATTAACATTTAAAGTCCCAATTTAAGTCTGCTAACAATGATCTGTAAAATTAAAGTACCAGCACAGACCATCAAAGAAGCCAATCCCTAAATGGAGACAAAGCTCATCCTTATTGCCTATTTAAAGAAAATAATTTTTCAACACAGAGTGAGATATATGTGCTAAATCGAAATAGTTAGACCCCATTAAACAAAGACATGGCACAACAGAGTCAGCCCTAACATTTCATATAAAACCTGTGCCATAAATATCTAGGACTCACATATTGCAGTTATTCTGCAACTCAGAAACAGACACTGTAGATGATCCGTTTTGTGTGGCAGCCTGGTACTTCTGAGCTGCAGCGCCGAGTTGACTCACCTACACATGAAAATCATAAAAAGAAAATCAAAAAGATGCAAATGCCACTATATCCAAAAATGAAAGACAGCTTTATCCAGACAACACAAACAATCTGCTAAAAGATGTGACAAACCCCATAAGAGTTAAAGCACACAGAAGGACAGGAAACAAGAATATGTGAAAACTTTATAAAGAGACATTCTGAAGAGAAATTTAATTAGCCCTGTCTTGCAGCCAATTAGGTGCAACGGAAATGACAGTGAACTAAATGCTTCATCTGGTCAACGTCATCTAAAAACTTAAAACTTTATGAGAAAATATTCAACATAACTCCGCATATGTCGATCACGCACGGACAAATATAATGATAACCCCGAATCAGCACATTCAAAGTCAGGACTGTTAGCACCAAATTTTGAATGTCTTTTTTCAAATATAGAAGCAAAAAGTATTAGCAAAACCTGACAGATTATTTGATCTCCAATATTTTGTCATTTTTAGTATCTAATTTTCTTATACTAAATCTCTATTTCTCTATTCTTAGATGCTAACATATTTATCTATAATGTTCCTTTAAAAATCAACATATCACTCTTCCAACTATACTTACTGTGTTGTCTCGATCATTTCAGGAAAGAGCTCATCAGCTCTGAGTCACATGCCTTTGTGCCAATACTAAAGCGTCGCAGAAGTCTGAAGCAATGAAGGGCCGAGACTACACTTCACCTAACTGCAACACTAAGTGCACCTCAGTGAACTCTTAACACTGTTGATTCTAGTGCTTCTGTATCACTACTATATTCTCACAGTTCGCCCTTCGACACTCAATTACTTTCAAGTGTACATTGGCATGACGAAGCAAAAATGTCCTCGAACACAGAACATAAAGCACAAAATTTCAGGCTTTACTGGCCTCGGTTGCATTAGCCAACAGCCAACACAGATTTTTGAATTTTTCCACCACCGCTCTCCACCGTCGCAATAGTTTAACATCACCAAACTCTTAACCAAGGGCTAACAATACTGATTCTAGTGCTTCTTTATCTCTACTAAATTAATCATAATTAGGGATCCAACACTCAAACCAATTCTAATCATACATTGCCCTGATGAAGCACAGATATCAGACACAAAACTGAAAGCACCAAAAGCCAGGGTCTACTGGCCTCGGTTACCATTGCCAACAGCTGAAACAGCATTTAAATTTTTTCCTCTATCGCACCTCCACTGCTGCAATACTATAACATCACCAAACCCTTAACCAGGGGGAAGGGCTAATCCTACTACCCAATGCACTGCTATCCTTCTCAAACATATCCAACAGACATAGATCTATATTTATACCGATGGTCTCCAACCTATGGATGGTAATTTGAATTCAAGTCAGAGAAAGCGATTTACAGTGCAATCTACTAACTGCTCCGACCAATTCACCACCATGGATCAGGATGAGAATAAGATGGTCAGCAACCATTTTTCTATTTTCCAGCAAGATGGCATTTAATAAAAAATGGAAAAGAGAAAGCAAGTCAAATCTCTAAGACGTATGTGAACTTATACCAAGTCACGATGAAAAGGAAAATTAGAGGGAAAAAGGCATGCTCGACGGATCATGTTTGAAATACATATAACTTTACAACAGCAAAACCTTATTTGAGAAATTATATCTCACAAGACCTCAATCTCCTCAACTACATCTAAAAGGGACATTAAAGACCTCGTTTGACTAGCACGTACGTACTTATCGGGGCAAAATGTTTCTGTTCTAGCATAAATGGTAAGAGAAAGCAAAAGTTTTTGCGAAACCAGATTAGAAAACAGAAGCATACAAGTCAGGTTAGAGCTGAAGCATGATTCAAATAGATCAAGGTAAATTAGCAGTTCAAAGCAACATTGAGCAACCTGAGGTATCAACAATCTTCTAGGGATTAGCTCCTCGTGACGTCGAGCACAAAATTCCCAAGAGACGATCTGCCATGTTGACAAAAAGGAAAACAGTTAAAAGAAAATAATAGACATTCATCTGCACTGTGCCGTGTCTTAAACAACTGATTAATAAGTATAGTTATTAAAATAAAACGCTATGAGCTCTTCAATTAACCTTCAGATCAGGTTGTGAGAACACTATTCGAAGCTGACCATCACGGACAACACGAAGCTGCTCAAAAACACTCTCCTGAATTGCTTTTGCATAGTCTAGGACAATCTGTCCAGATGAATTCTGATATTCACGCGGCATATCAATATAGAGTAGCTCTTCCAAAGTCCCACTTTCATATTTTATCTTGAAAAGCCTGGGCAAGACTTCAGCAGTCGCTTCTGAACAAATAAGTTCAGAAACATCAGATGCCAATAAAGATTACATGGAGGAAAATTAACCAAATGGGTGCAGAAATTACGAGTCAACGACAATGGCTTTGTAAGTTACAAAGAAACATACCAAACCCACGGCCTGGCTTGCGGTTGCATATTTCACAGTGCCATACATCCTGCAAATTATATAATAGTGATTAATTTTCTAATACAAGGAAAAAGTTGGTCGGCAATAAATTTGCATAATATATAAGCAACAAATCCAAATTAGTTATCAAAGCTGAAAAAAGAATCAATTTTCAGAAAAGCTTTATCAAGCCATAGATGTGGATGTGGTATATGACTTACTATAACCATATTTTTTCACTATATAAGAAGATTTCTCACATTTGATTAAGAAAAATCAATAACACAACCAACCTGAGGAAAAACTCCAGTGGTCTGCCGACCACTTCCATACATAGAAACGCACCACTTTTTCTTGGCATGTGGAGCAAAATACTCGGCGACAAATTTTCTCCAGAACTCTATGTTATTGTCCTATAAAAAAGGTAGTGCAAATGTAACATCATGGCGCTGTAGTCAAATAAAGGATCAATTGAGATCAGATAAGCTGCGTGGTAGGGTGCAGAGTTTATGGTCCACCCAGAAATTATAGTTGGCACAGTTTTCTTACTTCAGGTCTGTGTTGCTGCTGATACAAATAATGAGTCAGCCGACGGGCACACATCCCAGGCTCATAAGCTGGTTTTATAGGAGACCTTATAGCATGATTCTGTGGTTGGAATTGCGGTTGAAGTGGATTTCTTTGCTGAGGAATAGTCTTCAAGAGTTGTTGCTGCTGCTGCTGCTGGAGCTGCATAATCCTCTGCTGGTGGAAAAGCTGAGCCGCTGCTGCAGATTGAGGGGACTGCTTGGACATGTGAAGTAACTGCTGCTGTTGTTGCTGCTGCTGCTGCTGCTGCTGCTGTTGTTGTTGCTGTTGCTGATGTAGAAACAAAGAGGGTGAGGAATGTTGTTGCTCCATCTTCACAGTGGCAAGGCCTCTCATACTTTGTATCTGTTGGGGCTCCTGCTTTACAGTTGCCAGGTTTCGCAGGGCTTGCAACTGCTGTGGTGTTTGATCACTGGTCACCTGGGGCTCCTGTTTGACAGATCCTAAGCCTCCTAATCCACCTCGCATGGATTGAAATTGCTGCTGCTGTTGCTGTGTTTGGGAATTGCTAGGGGCAGAGAATTGCTGAAATTGTTGATTATGTTGGTAATTCTGGGAATCAAGTTGTTGGGACGGTGATCGGTCAGTTAACATCTGGTTACCAGAAGGGCTAGGAAACCGCTGTCCTTGAACTTGACCTGAATTTGGATTTGCTGTCATGGCCGATGAGCCAAATGATGTTGAAGGGGTACTAAATCCCATACCATTGCTAGCACTGGACAGTGGATCAGACTCGGCCACATTATCAACTCGTTGAGAGATTCCATTTCCAGGAAGCCCTGGATTATGACCACCGTTTCCTAAGGACTGATGGAGCAGAGATGAAACATTTGGAGCATTTCCTAGCATGTTCATGTTACCAAACTGAGTCCGGGGTGACACAATAGAAGGGAAACTACCCGGGGTAGGCATTCCACCCCCTTGACCCCCCAAAAAACTAGAATTTGATCGCAATAACGAAGACGGGACAGGCTGGGCACCTCCTCCAAGTGGATTTGGAGGCCCCTGTGGAACCATATTTTTATGCAATAGATAACAATCTACAAACACTTAACCAACTATAGAACACTAAAATTGTATGAAGCCTAACTCCCCAGATCTAGAGACTTTATATTAAAAAGAATTACACAGAGCAACAAGCAGAATCTACTATATCAATTAAATGAATCAGTGATTTCCTTTCCAAATCGCAGCTAGACATTCCAAAGTCCATGTTTTGAGCCAAAACAAAGGGAGAACCCTCACTGCTGGGCATAACCCTTTGTGTATCAACAACAGAAAGTTGGAAATCACAGAATAACAAGTACAAGCTACAAGCTTTAACTGTTAACATCCTAAAGCTTCTCTTTTTCTGCTCAAGTAACTATCTTTATCCACTTTTCCAATCAGCCCCTGCAAGAAAAAGAAAAGGTCCAATTGTGTCAAATTTCTCCCTTTGTTCATAAAAACATAGCTAAACTCAACACAGTAAGTAAAATCAAAAAAAACAAGCTCCATACTTGATCAATAATCTAATAAAACAGCCAAAAGAGTAGAATACACTAAAACACGAACAAGATAGAAAATCACTAAAATTCACCCTCAAACTTTAAAAAAAATGAAAATTACCTCCAACATAACTAAGCTACAGTAAACAATTCGACGGTAGAAAATTAAAAACAAAATAAAATTAGCGATTCATAAGTTACATGTTCACTTGATCGAGCCCTAAATCACGCAATAAAGTACAAAGGACAAGATCCACAGCTCAAATTATCGACAACACCTAGGGCACCAAGCTCAAAAATATATAAATACATCCCAAAAGGGGGAAAAGGAGTTGCTTACCAAAGCACGCAGTCACAATCAGCTTATAAATATATATGTATCTGTATCGATATCGATACATATACATACAGATAATCATGTATGTATAAGTTCATTCAACCAAGTTTCACTTGTTGGGTTGGGGCTTTGGTTTTTTTGTTTTTTTTAAGGCTTTGGCTTTTTCAAAGTGAAAAAGTTTTTCAGTAGAGAGGAGAGTTTCTGCGCTGTCCTTTTTAGAGAGAGGAAGTTAGAGAGAGAAAGTATGTGTTTCTGCGGACGTCAAATTTGCATTCCGTCGGATTGAATAATTATTATCGTTCCTTCACTCTTTCTTTCTTTACCTTTTTCTTTTCTTTTTTATTGTTTTCTACTCTTAATCAAACAAAGTCAAATCCTCTTCTGCTTCCATTTATGTGAGAGAACAACATGCATCATCATTTTTTTGTTTCCCGCCCGGTGTTCGGTACTCGCATTAGACCCCATTTTACGTGAATTACTTTTCCCTTTTAGTTTTTTTTTTAACACTTTGGTTGGATTATATTGTATAATATTGTTATTCTAAATATAATATTTATTTTATTTATTATTTAAATTTTATTGTATTGTGTATTTAAATTCATCATTACGTAACGATAAAAAATATCACTCTATGTGGCGATCGATTTGGCTTATTATTATATAATCATATTTTATCCTTTACACTACCTTTTTATATAGTAATAATTTCACCTCAGTACCTTACTCTCTCTTTTTTGCAGTTACAACTTACGAGTTTATTCTTCATATTGTTCGTGCATGACATTATAAAACAACAACAAATAATATAATTTATCTAAACATTGTATATAACAATACAATATAATATGATACATTAAACGACACATAACAACCATTTAGACAAAATGTTAAAAGATGACATAAGTTTGACACATTTTAGTTTTAATTTTAATTTTAATGACATGTTCTGTTTGAACTTACATAATATAGAAAGATTATTATTTTATTAGGAGAAAGAGAATAAAAAGACATATGAAACACTCAGCATTACTTATTTAATCAATGTTAGTATAGGCAATTTTCGTACTTTACATGCATTTAATTTATGTGTGAAGTTTTCTTTTATTTAATAAATTTAATTTATGCATGAATTTTTTTATTTATTTAATAAACTCTATGTTCTATTAAATGCCTCATATAAGACACTGGAGTTTCTACCGAGATATTTTTGGATTTTAATTTAGACCGACCGGATATGAAAGAGAGAAAAAAAGTTACATTGTCATAAACTCTTTATTGATATCGTGGTCGGAATCTGACCATCTCTGGTGGGTTCCACCTAGGATTGTGCATTTCAATCGGATAAACGAAAATCCGTATCAATCTACTCTATTTGAATTTTCGGATTTTAAATTTTGGATATTTGGATCGGATATGGGTTATATTTTTTAAAAGTTCAAACGTCCAGAACGGACTCGGATTGGTATAATTTCAATCAAATCCGACTAGAAATACAAAATTTTAAGGACATGTATAATACTAGACTTTAATTTTAGGGTTAGGTCTTTTTTTATCTTTGAGAAACTTAGTTTATACCAAGCCCCTCTCTCTCTCTCTAAGGTCTCGTCAGATACAGCTGCTCTATTCCGCCTCTCTTCTCTATTTCTCTCGACTCTCACTCAATCTCGCTTTCCTATCGACGGCTACCGACGATGCCTTTTCCTTTATCGACGACAAGACGGACTCCTTCTCTTTCTCTCTAACTTGGTTATTCATTATTATTGGTTCCTTGTTTGCTTTCTCCCTCTTTGTTAGAGCTTAAAGGATGTGTTTTGTAAAGCCCCATAAAATTTTACTAGAACACAGTGGTTTCGTAGTGCCGAAGGAGGCTAATGTATTTGATGATTGTATAAATTATGCTCGTCGCGGTACGGACTTTTTGGGTTGTACAGTGCGTCGAGGAGTTGAAGAAATAATTTTGCAGAACATGGCATTTCTGCGGTCCACTGTGCAACCCAGAACCATTTTGTGGGTCACAGCTCGGTCGCGGAGTGAAGCAAAAATTGAGCTAATTTTGAGGACCACTATGCGGTCCATTATGCGGTCTATAACTATTTCGCAGGCCGCACAACCCATCATAGAACTAGCATAAAATTATTCGGAAGGAGATTCTGCAGTGCATTATGCGACCGCATAATTGATCTGCGGACCGCAGATCTGTCGAAGACTGGATCAGACCAGCCCAGATTTGAAGGACAATTTCGTGGTCCATTTTGCGGGTTGCAGACCTGATCTGCGGTGCTAATGCAACCGCAGAGTTGAGATCATATGGTCCATTATTCTATTTTTATAACCCGACCCTATTTCGATAAATAGACGTAAAGGACCATTTGTGAAGAGAAAATCTGGTATTTTTAGAGAGAGAAAGTGCTCTAGAGTGAAAGGAGAAATCCCTAAGCTAATTGTTCATCAATCCTTGCTCAAGAATTAGAGAATTCACAAAGAAAACTCGCATGGTCTTCCTCTAAGAGGTAAGGTTCATACCCTAGTTTTTAATTTCGAATTTGGGGTAGAAGATGGTTAATGGGGAGTGTGATTCTTGGGTGTGAGAGTGTTATTTATGCATGCATGTATCATCAAGGTTTGTGGGAAGGTTGTTGAGCTCAAGTGGGTAGACTTTGGATTGTGGGATGAAGAATCCACCATAAGAGGACCTTGAAATCATAATGCCTACCTAGTGTTTGATAAAATGCTCAAATAAGTTGAAATCACGAATATCTTCCTAATTTGCATTCAATTTTGTTATGTCTCAAAATAGATAGGGATTGCTAGGATTTCCGGAATATTGTAGTAACTTAAGGAAAGCTCAAAATGAGGTATGTTGGCTAAACATCTCCCTTAGAATTGAATCCCACGATGTTCTCATAAGTCCCGAGTCATTTATTATAAATTTGACTATTCCAAATAAAACCTGTGTCAAAAGTTATATTTTCAAAATGTGTTCTGGATTCTCTTATCATGTTATGTTATCCTTCGGGAGTGTGTCTAAAGTATGGGTTGTGTATTAAAAATTTATGACCTCGAGTCATGTTTCAAATGAAAGTTATTGTGCCAAATTGTGGAAGAAAACTCAATGTGCTTAAGACTCTTAATTGCTCATATGTGTTCCTAAAGTCATAATTGTAAATGCTTTGTTATTGATAATCCATGATGATACTTGAAAGTGAAAGGGTTGAACATGAAATATGAAATACGGCCGATGTGCCAGGATTGATATTAGGTTTGCATCCACTAGTGCCAATGAAATGAAAAGACGTGTAAAAGATTATGAATAAGTTGAAAATCCTTTGTTCAATATATATTTTGGGAGTATCGTTAGTCACCGAGGATGGGTAGGTTGAAATAACCTAACCCCAAAACTACATGTGCCGGTGTAGGTGTGATTGAGGGGTAAATCCCCGAATTGATATGTTGAAATGCTCCCCTTAAGTGGATGAGATTGATGTGATGAGATTATTTCCCTTATTTGGGATGAGATGATTGCTAGAGAAGGGTGATATCGATCCACACGGCATTGCGATGAAACAGCTTAGTTGATCGGGCCGAGATCGGACGCCGTGTCGCACACATGGTGGTGATTGTGCTTGACATTGTGATTGAGATAGTGATTGAGATTGTGATAGTGCTTGTGATTTAGTTGACATCTTTGGGTGAGATGGCCTAGCCGATCGGGCGGTGATCGGATCCGTGCTAAAATCACGATGGTATATCGGTGTTAAGATCTCCAAACCTAAAATATGGAAATTTACTTGAAAACTTGTCTTGCTCCTAGCTTGATGTTTGGCATTGTTTGAGGTTCCCATTGATTCTACGAAATGTTCTTCCTGGTATTATTACTCGTTCTATTGATATGGTGTTTAGTCATTCATACTAGTACTATTCCATATGTACAAACGTTCTTTTTACGGCGGCCGTTGCATCTTTAATGGATGCAGGTGGTTCCACAGCAGGCGGCATTGATCAGTGATAATGATATGCCCTCTTCCCAGCTGGCTTAGTGAGCTCCACTTTATTTCGGGGTCGTGCATCTTTTGTTCCTTGTGTATTATATTTTGAGGTATAGTGGGGGCCTTGTTGCCGGCACCTATCATAGTACTCTTTTGTATATATTAGAGACTCCGTAGACATGGTGTGGGTTGTATATTGGTTTTAGGAAAGTCAAACTAGTAATGTTGTATTTAAATCACTTGTTCCACTTTAGACTATGAAAGTGTATATATTTGGGACTTGTAAATGACGTAACTAATGGTAATGAACTGGTGTTGATTACATGACCTCCTCATTGTCTAATTAATGAAATAGATCATCTCTTTTATTCATGGGTGAGTTGGGCAGAAGGAAATCTCATAGGCTTGCTCGGTCGGGATATCTCGGTTGAGCGCTGGTCGCGCTCCCCGAGGTCGGGGCGTGACATGTTTGTTCTCTTTTGTTTCATGGAAGAAATAAAAAAGGTGTTTGTCCGCTTTTGTGTCTTTTTGTTTTTGAATCATATTCTTTCTTTTTCCAATTTTTGGGTGCATGGATCGGTTTGGCTTTAGGGATTTACTGCTAAGACTTCAGTTTTTGATTTTTGTCTAAATATATTCTAGGGGTCACTTTTTTTAACAGAAATAGCTCCAACTATGAGATGAACAATATATTTTCTTTACTTCCCATAGTCCATAGTGCTCATCTGGTTTCATATGATAGTCGCATGTTATGTTTTGAAGTCAAGCGAGTTGTGAAACATAATCGACGAAAGTCGTCACAAGTTACTTTCATAAATTTTACTGAAATTTAGGTCTAATGTCACTGAGATTTTCTCTTAATGTACTTGGAGTTATGAAGTGATCCACCCTTCAAATTGAAGATCTACGATTTTATTTTCTAACACATTAAAATGTTCATCGCTACGACGTTGGAGTAGAGAGATATCTGCGTTTCCACAAGACTACACAAGCAGCTCCCTTTGGGACCCACAAAGTCAGTTGAGAATTATCTTGATATATAAAGTTGTGTCCTTTGTCTCCAAGCCTCTTTTTCGACCCAAATCAAACCTAAAACTCTCTCTAGACCTCCTACATGTATCCTTAGGGTTTGAAAGCCAAATCAAAGGGGAAAGGTGAAACAAGTGGATTCAAACCTTAGGAACCCGAACTAGTCGATAGTTACTGCTTTCTCTCTTCGTGGTTGATTGATGAAGATATAGCAACGAAGTAAACTCTGAAAATTGGGGATTTGTGTGATATAAGGTATGTTCT